GATGGAGTGACAATCTCAGGGATGAGAAGTTGAAATGGGACAAGAACTCAACCTATGTCCCATGTTGGATCCCAACTCATATATGGCCTCAGCTGTTGACATATTGGGACTCTGCTGAATATAAGCGGCTCAATGCAAGGGGAGCAAAGAATAGGAGTTCTGGGGAAAGGGTGACTCACACCACTAGGTCCATTAGCTTTGGCTTCCATGAGATGCGGATGGTAATCAAGCTTAATTAATAAAAAATTTCATATATTAAATTTTATTTAACAATAAATTGTGTCAATTTATACTAACCAATATATTGCATTATCAATATTTTGAAATGCAAATTGAATCTAGAGGTGGTGTGCAGCCTCCCCATCAGGAGAAATTCAAAGAGACACATACCTTCAGAAAAAAAGCGAGAAAGGATCAAAAGCTAGCGTGGATCAATGAAAAAGCAAAGCATCGATATGTAAGTATATATAACATATAAATTCGAATAAAATTTATAGTTATAAGTGTCAAAAAAATTTATGTAATTAATCTAAATTATTTAGCGACGTCTACTTTTTTTTATAGATTCTTTTCAAACTGCTTTTGATAACATTATTACTATTACTATTATTTTTTCAGGATACTTATGTTGCGGAGTGCACAGAGAGTCATGGCTCTGATACTAGTTCGTGGTCACGCATGGATAACGAGGCATGGGTTAAGGCTGTTAGAGGTTGCTCATCTAATTTCATGCCAGGGATTGGCTCCCAAGTAAATCCAGAGATGGTTGGTTTTACTGACAGGAAGAGACAACCCCAAGAAAACTTAATAACAACAATGATGGTGTCTGACTATGAGGAGGCATAGGCAAAACAAAGGAGTTAGAAAGACAACACCAACAAATTTCTCTGATGCAACAGTAGTTGGCCAATATGACAAGCTCAGAATAATATGAGCCAAACAATTACACAGTCTGTTGCAGCAGCTCTAACCACTCATGGCATCTCCCCTCAGGCAAGTCATCATCTAGTTGCCCCACCACAGCCGTCACATGGTCCTGGCTCAAGTCTTCGCATGAATTTAGCTTTCACCTACTCTATTGATTTTATAAAAACCTCTCCTATGGTTCTTGAATATCAGCAGCAGCAGCAGCAGCAGCAGCAGAAACAGTTTCCACCTCAAGATGATGATGCATACAATCCTGTTTTTGATCCAAACTATCAGGGTCCTTAGTTTTTTTTATTTTTCTGCTACGCACATTATATGCACACTTTGCATGGTTGGCTTTATTTCTGTTAGTACTTTAAACTGTTAGCTTTTTAAACTGTTAACTTTAGCTTTTCATTACGATATCTTTTCTTATTTTGCTTGACCTCCAGTGATCATACTTCAAAAGGTATGAAGTTTTGGACTGCTTTGGAGGTTAATTATTATTAACTGAATATCATAGGTATTTAAGACAATGGTGTGTGATTGCCATACTTTGTGGTTGTGGTTGTGGTTGTGGTTGAAAACGTATAATTGTTTTTAGCATACTAGAGATGTAGAATATATGTGTTTTTCATTGCAAATGTAGGTAAAAAAAATTGGTTTTGATCATACGTATGGGGAAACTCTATCAAATTTTTTTTAGAATTTATGCCAACTAAAATGACCAATTGCAAAAAATCTATTGAATAAATTTCAAATTATTACATTTTTTATAACAAAGTTATAGAATTGCAAATGCATATTTAAAAAAGAAATACCTTTTATCATATATACGGGGGAATTTTGTCAAATTTTTTTAAAATTTATGTCCACTAAAATGTAAGAAATCTGTTGGATAAATTCAAAAAATGGCATGAAAATGAAATCTGGAAAGGAACTTAGGGAAAATGGACGAAATCTAGAGAGGAAGCTGGGGAATTTTTACCGGCCATGCTAGCAACATAATTCTAGTCTATAAATGAAGTTCCCACTTGCATCTTGTCGGCAAATTAAGATTGCTAACGTGATTCTAGTCAGTAAAGTTGCCAACGTGATACCAACATGAAGCTGGTCAGTAATTTGGGTGCAGATTGCAAATTTTTTTTGGTTTTTGGATTCCCACTCTCGGTAACTTACCCATGTGATGTTTGTCAATAAAATTAATACCGACTAAACACACATGGGTAAATTGGCTTATATATACTCTCAGCCCACCATTCTACCCAGCTTATTTCTTCTTGTCTTCCTTCTTATTCTTCTTCTTCTTCTTTTTTCTTCTCCTCCGGCTTGCCTCCTCTTTTTCTTCCATTCAATGCTGCTAGATTAATTGTTTATGTTTATAATTACATTATTGATATAATTTTAGGTTTATATCTTTTCAATCCCCTCTCTTTTTCTCTTTCATTGTTTCTCCCTATTTGATTAAATACTAATTTGTGTTATTAATCAATTTATTTTCATTTTTAATTTTGTTTTCTAGGAAACATTAGGAGATAATCATTGGGGTAAGTAAATTTTTTTTGTGCAAATTAACATTCAATTTTATTTATATGTTGATTAGAGTTATTAGGGTTGAAATTAATTATAGATAAATACTAACCTAATTTATGTTTTTTTATTTTCTTAAGAAATGGTGTTCTGCAAATCTTCATCTATTGAGGTAATCTTTAATTAATTTTTTAGGTTATCTAGTTGTATTTTAACTTTGTCATTGTATTCTTCTTTTTTAAGTTATGTTTTAATCTTTAATTTAAATAAATAAATACAACAATTTTCTGATTACATTGTAAAATTTTCATATTATATTTATTTTTATGATATTAAATATTACGAATTACTTAATGTTTAATTGTAAATTAATTTAATTAAACAATAAATATATATTAATCTCAATATGAATTGAATTCGAGAAATTTTTTTTTATTTTTCTAGATTTATTACCAACGTTATTCTCGTCAATAACTAGGAGGAAAAAAAAAATGGCACCTAAAATTGCCAACTCAAATCTTGTCGGTAACTTTTAAATTTTGGAGATGATTTCCTTGCTCAATCCTTGGCAGGCAAAGAACTTTATGTACTTTTAGACGTGATCTTCGTCGATGAATCATTGACATGGCTCTAATTGCAAAGCATTTTCCTGTATTGGCAGACGTGATGTTCGTCGATGAGTAGCTCAAAGCTCAAAGTGCCTTCTCTATCTGTAGACACTATCCTTGTACCGACGTGGAAACCAAAGATGATTTCCGGTGTTACTATTCCAGTCAATCCTTGCAAGATGTTTCTTGTCGGTAATGAGGAGGGAGTTTACCAACGTGATTTTCATCTACGTCGGTGAATGAATTACCAAACCCAATTTCACCGACAAAGCTATTACCAACGTGATCCAAGTTGGAGTGCTGTTTCACCGACCTAATTCCCTTTCTTACCGACATGATTTGTTGTCAATGAAATTGTGAATTCTTGTAGTGCTTAAATTTAAATTTTTCTAATTTCATGCATTTCAGTTTTTTTACACAAATAATAAAAAAAAAATTATGTAATTTTTAATAAAATCACATTCAATTTATTCAAATATTAATAAAATTAAGGCCAAAGTAATAAATTAAATTATTTAAAAATTCTTATCGTTAATGTGCAAAATCAAGTCTTTAATATCTAATTTGGAATCTTATGAAATATTATAACTAAAATGTTGAAGTTGCAAATGATGTGGATATAACTTGTGAGTGTGAGGTAAATGTGGTTGCATGAATATCATGGACTAATTGTAACTTTGGGTATTGTTGCTATGGTTACAAGTGTATAACAAGAAAATGAAGGTAAATATCTTTTTTTCAAATATCTTCTTTCACAAAAGTATTATTGAATCTAAATTATTTTAAACTGCATAATTTTAACCATTTAATGAGGGTGAGCCCCTTGATATTAAATGTTCCCTCTCTCACCTGATAATTCTTATTTTACAGTTCAATGCAATTCAAATTATAAAACAAACAACTAATCTTTTTTGTACCCTTTTATTGATCATAATGTTGTTCTTTTTCTTTCTCTCTTTTGTTTTTTTATATATGAATTACATGCATGTAAAGAGTTAAATGTTTCCTTTTTTTAATTTTTAAGGATCCTAAATTGAGTATCAAAAACTTGATTTTTTACTTTATTTAAATCAATTTTATATATTTTAGTTAACTATTTTAATTTTAATTTTATTGATATTTGACTAAGTTGAATATTGAAGTTTGAGTATGCACAAAAACTAAATTAGGGAACCAACAATGTTATTTTACCATTAAATTTTTTGGGATCTTAACCGAGAAATAGATGGCGATTGCAATTAACCGAGTAAGTCCCTGTAGGTATGTGGATTCCCCGTTAAATATTAAAATTGTAGAATTTAACCTTTTTTTTTTTTTATAAATAAAGTAATTTATGGAATATAAAAATAAAAACTTATAGTAAAAAACCATGTAAAAAATTTCACAAACACCATAAAAAAGGTACTACATAATGAAATAAAAAAAGAGTAAAATTTTGAAACAAAGCAAATGCATACAATAGTCGAACAAATGCATGCAATAGTCCAACAAATACATACAATCTAACAAATCTACAAAAAGACAATATAAAAAGAGTAAAAATTTGGGCAAAAACCTGGTTTTAGCCCCTCATCTTAACTATAACACTTTTAACCCTTTATCTTACTAGATTTATAAGTTTTAGTCCCTCATCTATTAAAATCAAAGAAAATAGCCTTCATTTTATACTGACTATTAATTCTGTTAGTTGAAAATAGGTTTTTATCAACTAACAGTCAACTAATAGTCAATTAACAGAATTAACGAAATATTATAAAGTTAGTTCTGTTAATTCTATTAGCTGAAAGAAGGTTTTTATTAGTTAATAGTCAACTAACAATCAGATAATAGAATTAACAGTCAATTAATAGAACTAACAAAATGTTATAAAGTAAGGGTTATTTTTTTTAATTTTAATAGGTGATGGGCTAAAAGTGTCATAATATAAGATAAGGAGTTAAAACATATAAATTTAATAAGGTAAATGGTTAAAAATATTATAATATAAGGTAAGATGCTAAAACCTTCAAATTTGATAAGGTGAGGACTAAAACTAGACTTTTACCAAAATTTTGAGATAAATTGGGTTTTAAGTTTTTAGAAATATGTTACAATTTATAAAAATATAAATTTAGGTTAAATTACATAAAAATTAATTGGGCTTTATATTTTTTAAATATATTATAATTTATAAAAATATAAATTTATATTTTTTTATTATATACGAAACTTCGAAAGGACATGGGAAGTGAAAAAAATTTCTTATAAAATTAAAAAAAAATTCCTTCATTTTTATTTTAAAAAAATATTTTTAAAATTTTTATCTCTATGACAGGAATCCTCGCAGAACTTAAAGAAAAGTGATTTTTCCTGAGCAGTAGTCAAGGAAAGTGATAGACTGACCTAACAAAGACAAATAATCGTATTTGACAAGTCTGCAAGTGACTCGAGAAGAATATTCAAATTTACGTGGCTTATGGTGCAAGTTCAAAAGTCAAGAGGGAAAGAGACGTTAAAGAGAGACGTTAAAGACTATTGCACAAAATAACCAACCAAATTAATTTCTTTGAAGGCAACTTGCCATAGTTCCAACCATAGTCTTGTTGGCTTGCTCTGTTTTTTCTGCCTATATATAAATAAAGTAAGACGCTATGTTATAATTGTAATTTATTTTTAATTTTTATTTTAAAATAAATAAATTTTTTAATTTGATAATTTGAGTAATTTAAAATGTGTTTAGAATTACTATCAAATATTATAATTGTAATTGTAAACATAACTGTAACTATAACTATAATAGTATTAAATTGTATTATATTGTAATTGTGATTAAAAATTATTTTACTGTTTAGCTTTTTACTTCTTAAAACTATTATAGATAATATAGATTATATTTTATTAATTACTAATTAAAATTTAAAAATATTGTATGATGTATGATTATTAAAATAGATAACATTTACTATTTCTTAATAATTTAGGTTTTTTAGATTTTATATGTTGAGTATTCTTTTGAGTTTCATGAGAGAGAAACTCATAAGAAAGGAATGAGTTTTATGAAATTTTTAAATAAATGAGAGGTTATGCTTAAATATAATATTATAAATTGTGGTGTAATGGAATTAAACGAGGTTGAATTTTAATGAATAATTTTGTAATTGTATCAAATATTAGGTGATATTTGTGAAAGTATAATTAAAAAACTTTTAAATGAGGTTTTTACTTTTATATATAAAATTGTTGTGAACCTATTATGGTTTTCTACAACTTTTAAAAAAAGTAATCCCAGAAAAAACTACTAAACACACATATTTAAACACATTTTACGGTTTAAAAAAAAAATCCCAGACACATTCTTAACCCTCTTCTTTATGAAAAACTTAGGGTGCATTTAGAATTACAATTAGAAACTTTTTCTAGTAACCATCCAGTATTTTTAGATATATGTATGTTTAATAATTTTTTTCAAACTTCTTTTTTCAAAAGCTATAGAAAATTATAACAAATCTATAGTGGTTTTATATATAAAACTAAAAGTCTCATTTTAAATTTTTGTAACTATGACTTTCATAGGCAACACCTAATATTTAATACAATTACAAAATTACCTATTAAAACCCAACCTTATTTAATTCAATTACATTTTAATTTATAATATTTTATTTAAACTTAACCTATTATTTATTTGAAAATTTTATAAAAAAAATTAAAAACTCATTCATTCCTTATGAGTTGCTCTTATATGAAACCCAAAAAAATCCATCATAAGAAACCTAAAAAATCTAAATTATTAAGAAATAGTAAATGTTATATATTTTAGTAATTATATA